AATTCGCAGAAACTAAATATCCATAGTGGAAAGTCAAAATCGCTTATACGCCACTTTGGCCAAAAATAAGTTATATTATGTCATTTTAATCAGATTTTTTTTCTGCGTCGATCTGGTTGTTTCGTGAAGATTTGAGTCCTTTTTTGGCGCTTAAGCAACTCAATTTTTTAAAGATGTTTATTGTTCACAACACTGAAGCGACATAATTTTTCGTGTTTTTTGAACCAATGGCGCTTACACCCTACTATTTGGCGTATGATTTGATGTTTGCTTGACACAAAATGTATCGCGGGCCGAGTGATTTCCGCTGAAGCAACATTTAATTCGTTAAATAATGGCATTATGTAACTTTTAAATAGGAGGATATTTAGAAAATATTATTTAGTGAATATGTTTTTAGTTTTATGGCGCTACTTCTCTTTATTTACAATGAGTTATGTTTTTTTTGGTGAAAAAAAACTTTTTGATGCTCGTTTCTGTAAAGTTACTAAAGTGGCGTTTAAGCGATGTTGCTTTTCCACTGACTGATATGTATGTATAAGCCAGAGGTTAACTTCAAACGTTGTTAATCACCCTATACAATAATAATCCATGACGTTAATGTCGCAGGTTAACGAAAGCAATAATTCCCGTCTGTTGTTATGGACACTGGTGGCAACTGCCTTAGCTCGCTAAATTAAATAATTATAGAATCACCAAAGCAAAGTTTACAATATTTGATTAACTAAAGGCGTACAATAAAAAATTCCATAGCGTTAGGTACAGCACCATAGCAATCGCATTTATTATCAATTTATAACCCAAAGTATAGATTTACAAGGTGGCACATGTGCTCCTTGAATGCACAGGTGTCGTCCAGATCCGCAAAGAGACTCTCGGTACACCGGAATCCCTCGCGGATGCTTTGAGAAGACTGGGAAGACTGATCTGCTTCTGGAGGGAGGTGGAATGGTTGGAATAATCGTCCGCTATGGCTCACGTACAATGGTCCATTTAAGGACCAAATATACAACAACATAGATTTACATCTTTGTCGTTCTCTTCTAAAGCGGTCAACAGTTACATGTCGCAGGTTTTCGGGTGTACCCTTTCATTGGTAGTGTAAATCTCGACTAAAGAGTACTTACATCTATCAATCAGACTGCTACTAGAGTAGTAGGTATTGCAAATGTTGCAATCATAGCAATTATTTTTCAAATATTATCTCTACCTATAAATAAAATAAGAATAAGTATGTATGAACTAGCGAATAACGAATCACTGTTTGCCAAAAATGGTAAGTAACTTTTACAAATATAATCAAATAAACCATTTAATTAAGGTATTTTTAAATATTTTTTATCAATTAAATATTATTATCCTAACTATCTATACTAATATTATAAAGAGGCAAGACTTGTATGTTTGTAAAAATTTTTTTTCAAACTACTGAACCGATTTCGTAATTACATTCTCCATGAGGTACCTACATTATTTATTATATTTTCACGCATTCATCTCAATACAGTTGAATAATCTGCTCAATTTATAAAAATCCGAATCTAAAGATAATTATTACTTGAAACAAATCCACTCTGACACCTTCTCTGAGAGGAATTTTTTCTAGTAAAATTTTCTATATAACTGCATTATATCCGAGTGACATAGGCTATATTAATATATTTATATAAATAATTTTCGCTTAACAATGCCGGGGCGGATCACTAGTATTACTTAATATTATAGATGCGAAAATGAGTTTTTTTGTTACGCTTTTGCGCCCTAATCGCAATATCGATTATGATGAATTTCCTTATAGAAATAGATGGGACTCTGGTTATAACCTACATTATCGAAATACTTATAGGGGTAGAGTGATGGAAGGGGTTATTCACCTATTAAACTTTACATTATTTATATATATATATTTTGTAAACAAGTTGTGATGTACGAGAGAGCGAGGCATTCTAATACAGGTATATGTTTACCTAAAAGAGTGCTTCAATAACTTTTATGTTAATCAATTAATTTAATTTGGTTACAGAATAAATATTTTTCTCTTTTTTCAATTATTGTTCATAATTGCATGTCGGTGAAGAAGATGTATAGAAACTTATTTTTGTAGTATATCTACCAAGTTCCTAATCTCCTACGATTTTTAAAACCCTATTAATTTTATTTGATTAATTTTATTTTACCACGATACAAGTCACTTCTGACTGAACTCATTTCGCAAGCCACAGTTGGGTAAACGCGGAGGCGTAGGCGGATAATTAATAAACAGATGAAATCTATGAAAAAAAAATGCTCAATAAAATCCGAGGAACTTTGAGACAACTGCCAAGACATCGTGACGATTAAAATTAACAACGCGGAGCTCAGACATAAAATAAAAATCGTGTTTTTCAAACAATCTTGTTGCTAAAATAATGTGTGACAGCTGGCGGGCCGGTCCGTAGCTGCGGTTTCTAATGATAAGAGATTAAAGAGCAATTTCTCAAGATGCATATCACTCAGTAAATTGTATTACCCTATCCTCGATTCCGGTCGCTATAAATGACATAAAGTCTGCTACATACTGACGCAAGCTGTGTACTGAATTAATGGCGGAAACGGAAAGTCGTGAATCGGCCCACGATTCATCAAGTCTCCGGTTACATTCCACATTTCACTTGTCACAGATTTATAAATATCTTCAACTGATAAATTTCGAACGAAAGTATAATCGATATATTTTCTTTTTTATGAGTTCCTATGGAGTTTAAATGTTACAAGAAGCCTTGATTTTGCCTTCAAATTAAGTGAATTGCCGTCTTATTAACTTATCGTCTTCCCTTTATGAAGGAAAGCATATTTTACTGAGATTACATAATTCGAAAGGGATAATCATACAATTATCATTAGTCTCCTTTCATTGGATTGATCATATTATTGCAAAATATAGAGCATTACATACAATACTTTTCTAAGGACTGACAAAATTATGCCTTTTTTGTTTACCTCTCTTACGAAATCAGTAAGAACATACTTTGGAAACCTAAAGAGCTTTAAAAATTAGCGATTGGATTAATATGGAGATGGGATGGACTTTGCTTTTAATTTGAGTGATTTTATCCTATAATTTTTTAGTAAGGCAGTAAGTATATATAGTTAATATGTTTTGTTTTCTATTTAAAAAAGATCCTGCGAGAAAACAGTCGCATAATAATATCAATATTACAGTTAAGGCCAATTTCCGGATTTTACAAAAAGTAAAAAAAAAATGTTTTTCTTAAAATCACTGTAGCCTAAAATCACTGACCAAAAGAAAAGTTATTCCAATCTATCCTTCCATTTAGTAACTTAGGCACTGAGTTTTTGCCTCGTGTTTCTAAATATACATATCTACAACTTTAAAATATTTATTGAGTTAATATATGGTTTTAAAGAAATACGTTTTCATGTACTTAATAGGTAATCCTATCCCACATACCTATAGCTGACGATAAAATACCAAGTAAATAGTGCTTGCTAACATCCAGCTTAATAAAAGCCCATGAAAAAAAGCAAATGAATAATTTCAGTAATCGGCACTATAATAGCTAACTACAATAATAATCATGTTTTTTCTTGGCGTGTTGTCATGTCTTTTGCTAGTAAAGTTGAAAAAATTAAAAAATATCTCATAACATATCAAAGCAGTCATTAAAACTGTTTATTTCTGTTGCTTACGAGTACCAATATTTTGGTTTTTATGTGATTATGACGCACGTTACCATGGCGGATATATAATGAACATAATATTAATGACTTACTCAGATACATTAATATAATGTCGGAGTTATGAGATAAGCTATTAACTTTCTTTATTTATTACTTAAATTGAAGACAGGTGAACCCTTTGATCTCTTGTTTCTTTGATTATAGTAAACTTCAAAGGCTTTATTTGTATTATGATATACAAAACAAAAATAATTAACAGCGTCTTAGAACAGACTTTGGAAAATTTATAGGGTAAAAGGGACAAAAATTGAGAAAATCGCGGCTTCCTAATGGACATTCTACTAGTTCATTCCAAATATTTGTTCTTCAGTTGCTATCCAGTTCCATTAGCTCAAAGTAATCTCAATAATAATGTGCCTTGATCATTTACGCTAATTTATTTCTTCAGTAAATAACATTTATAGAAGTTTTTTTTTGTTATTATAGTCGATCATAATCTTATGAAATATCTTGTGAAATATTTTCCCAAATGCCTATTATGTGCCGGTGAAATATATGATATTACTAGTGGCCAGCCCTCGCTTCGCTTCGGTGTAGAGCTGTAGTTAGTCTTACTTGGTGATTGTAGACTAAAATGACTCTTCATATAATTATAAAAAATCTGAAAATGGTATATTTGCCTTTTCCAAACTTCTATTGACATCACGTCACTCAATTAATTTGCCTTCCCGGAACCACTCCACTAACATTTGAAATTTATGGTATGGTATTAAAGTTCAAATTGACTTTTCAGTATTATCACGAATCCTTTGTATGGGAGTATAGAAAAGTGTTGTTTTTGGACATTTTCAGGCATTTTTTAAATTTTCTCTGCTTAAGAACCATTTTCATACTTCGAGGAATATTCTTAAACAATAAATACATTATTAAGAAAAAATCTGAACGTTTAAAAAGTGTCTTAAGAATATCTTATCATATTTTGATATATTGTTTATTTATTAAATTTCATTGTTATTTATTGTTGGCCTACATACGAGATGTGCAGTTGCTCCTACCGATGGAGCTAGAAATAGTAGCGTTGCACAACCATTTCGCACTGCACCGGTGCATTGAACTGTCCTAATCCCATCGCTCCTACCAAGTCGATCAGTGCGCCTCATTTTATTGCCAGGGCAACAGCACCCTCACGCTAATCTCACATATTTGGAAACCACAATACCAAAAATGCATCCGTTCAATATCGAGGGTACGGAGATAACCGCAGAAGTGTCATTCCATTGTTAAACGATAGTGTTCTAATAGAGCGTCATTTGTTCCAGTCCTGAGAAAAGCTTTCGATGGCTTCGACCACAACCGCTCGGGCAGTATCCCCTGCGATTTCGTCGCGGACATACTTAGGATGATGGGGCAACCCTTCAACAAGAAGATCCTTGAAGAACTCATCGAAGAAGTCGACGCTGACAGTGAGTACTGAGCGAATATGATTTATTTTCTCAACATTTTCCTTCTTCTTTTCTTTTCTGTGTTTACATAGTTTGTTAGTCTCACTTGGTGATTGATATAAAACAACATTTCCTTATTCTTTTAAGAAAAACCATTGCTTAAGCTAGCTAATAATCACAAAAAAGTTGAGTACTGTTTAAGGCAGTGCTAAGAAAACTTTGTATGACAATTTCTTCTTTCTTAGACTAGTGTTGAACGCCTAACTTTTCTTGTGGTAAACTCAAAATCAAAACCAACAATGAAATCATAATATCAATACCATCAGTAATGTATATATATACATATATTCTGGTATCAAATACGCTTCATCTGGTTGTACATTAATTGAAATTACAGTCGGCCTATAAAATTCCATTAGTACTATGATAGCTGGCGAGGCATGATTGCTCGAGGAGGCAGGTATTAATAGCGAGTTGCGTCGTTTCAGAGTCCGGCCGACTCGAGTTCGGCGAGTTCGTTACCCTTGCCGCCAAATTCATCGTTGAGGAAGACGCCGAGGCTATGCAGAAAGAGCTGAGGGAAGCATTTAGATTATACGACAAGGAAGGTGAGTAGAATGATTTCATGACCTTTCATCGGAAACTGTTACTTGTCTCAAACAACTGAAATAACAATGGCAACATCAGGCGGAACTTATAATCACCTACTTATTTATACTTGGCCGAAAGCTCACGAGTTTAAAAAAAAAAATTAATGAAAACGATTTTATGCGACAACTTTCGTAAGTTTTTTCATGCTTTTGAATGCGAGTATTTCATTTGTAGCAGTTAAAGAATCAGCTGTGCTATTCTGTAATAACAAACTCACTTTTCACCGCGGAATTCGCCGGTGTGATTAGAAATTTTATTTTAAATTCGTGTTCTAATTTTAAATCAAACCGCCTATGAATGGTGAAAGGTGAAAACTCACCTTTCACCATTCATGTCAATCAGCAGTGCTTATTCTTTAAGAACAAACTAGCACTGCTGATTCTGTATCTGCTACAAATGAAATACTCGCATTCAAAATCATGAAAAAATTACCAGAGTTGTCACATAAAATAATTTTAATAAATGACCTTTTTTGTACTCGTGAGCTTTTTGCCAAGTATTGGTAAATAAATAGGTAATTATAAGTTTCGTCAAGTGTTCCACGACACTCACATTCGATTTTTCAACCGACTTCAAAAAAGAAAAGGTTCTCAATTCGTCTGTAAGTTTATTTTGTATTTTTGTAACTGACGATATATCTTTGTAAATTATGCACCGATTTTCAAAATTATTTTTATAATCGCAAGGAAATTTGTCATGTTGTCAAATGTCAAAATTGTCAAAAAAATGTCCCATAGAGAAATTGTCAGGATCAAGGACTTCGGAGATGAGGAACGGAACTCATCGTAGGATCATAGAAGACCAGTTGTAATAAGTAAATATTGATTAGTTGATACATGCCGTTGATGGCTAACCACTAATGAGGAAGAGGACGAAATGATGGTCACGTCGGCCCTCCCTCTTCCCATCACTTTTAAAAATCAATGTATTGTGTGATGTATCGTTTTAACGAGTAGACGATAAGGATTTAGTTGATGTTGCTCGGGCTTATAAAAAGTGTAAATTAAAACTTTCTTAAAAAAACCGATTTCATACAAACAAAAGCACTAAAAAGTAAAAAAATATTCTTCTAATTATCAAAAGTACCTACATTTAAAAGAGGAAGAATAAAATTACAGTATTTTATCGTGCGAGATATTGTTAAAAAGAGCTTTTTATAAAGTTTTAATTGATGTTGCTCGGTCTTATAAAAAGTTGAAAATAAAAGCTTTTATAACAAAAATAAAAACTGACTTCCTAAAAAACAAAACAAAAGCACTAAAAAGTTAAAAAAATAGACATATTTTATACCTATGATTATCAAAAACCTATATTGAAAAAAGAGAAAAAAAAATACATTTAAAGTCAAATTAACATATGAAGTTGGTGCCATGCATGTTGATAGACCTGAGTTACCATTAACTGCTTAGGTTGGCATGGCACCGTCATCAATTGTTAATTTGACTTTAAATGTTCTTGTTAATGTTATGTCAGTGTTTCTCTTTTTAATCATCTCTTAATCAAGTTTGTGTTAAATCACCTCTTTAATTATAATCCTGAAAATATACCTATTTCTTTATTATTCAAACACTAGTTATAGAAAATCATTAACATTAAAAAATATCATGTTTTTTTCGCTACACGACACATCATCTATTTTGGCACATGTTCCACCGCCGACGATGAACGAGCAACGAGTAAAACGAGGAACTAGAAATGAGTTTGCGAGCAGCGGGAAGCGAGTGTGTAGTTCCAATAGTTTTATCGATGGGCTATAAGCGAGTGTGCGACGGTGCGCGTCAATCGCTCGCGGTGACAGTCCTTAGCATAAACGCATGCGCAAGCTTTTTGATAGCTAAATGAGCATCGCTGAGCAGCTTTAATAGCTCTTGTCGCTCAGCGCCGAATTAGTGGAGTGAGTTCTCGCCTCCGTTATTTTTTACTTATTTGTGCTTTTGTGTGAACAGTCGGTGATCATCTATAACTATAAGATAAACATTCTTTGTAAACAAAAGAGATGCATCCTCTTTTGTTTACAAAGAATGTAAATCTATTGTAAGTTTGAGCGAGAAAGTAGTTGATAGTTAGTCACTTCTTTGCCGGCCGTGAGACAACTGCCTAATGTAGGATCAGTCCTGCTATTCTCTATTAAAGACGAAGCTTTGTGGCGATAGACGCAGGTATAATGGAATAGATATAATGCCACTTAGTCGTGTCTAAGCTTCTTAGCACTGCAGATATATGATGTCGTTTTATATTAGGTGTCTATTTGATGCTGTTTGTGTACATAAAAATCAATTGCTGTTAACGAACAGCGAGTCAGACAGAGTTTTAGCGAGTCAAACGAGACTCGCTAAAACTCGAAAACTGCTCAACGGATTTATCTTATCTTGGTTTTGGTATGTTCGTGGAGGTCGAGGGAAGGTTTAAAAGGTGAGAAAAATTCGAATTCAACACTACAGCTCTCCACCGAAGCGAAGCGAGGGCGGGCCACTAGTATAAATATATTTACCTAAATCAAATATAGTTCGTTTGTCTAGCTAAAACTCAAGATCGGCTAGGCCGATTGAGCTGATTTAGGTTTTGAAATATTTATCGTAGTCCAGGGAAGGTTCAAACGTTGAGAAAATATGGAAAAATTGCGAGTGAGATAGTAAAAACATTAAATTCGTTTCCCACATAAACTGTTTTATCTACACTCGACTGCAAATAAACTGGGCCAACCACTAGTACCTTGGAATTCTAATTCGATTTTTTTAAAGTATATAAATTACATCTATTAAAGCTATATCTGCAGAAAGTGTGTTTCATACTTATTAATATGAGTAAAAATTTATTCTAAAGTACTGTCAACTTACTTTGTAATCGAGCAAGAACAGCAATGCTAACAATATGCAATTTTTTTAATATAGTCGCGATTATCATTCTTTTTATAAAATGAAGATAGTCTGATACTTCTTATTATTTCCTTAGTTTTTCTCCATAGTTTTCTCAGACGTGAAAATTTGGTCTTCGTTCGTTACTTCCGAATACCACAATGGCTTTTTTTAAATAAAATTTTAGTTAATTGATTAATCTCAATAAATGGCAGTTCATTTTAATTACCACGAAACGCACTTTCTGTAGTTATAATTTTGATAGTTGTAAGTTTTATATTTTTTGAGAAAATCAAATCAGAGTTCCATGGTAGCAAGTGGTCCAGTTTATTTGCAGTCGAGTATACTTTCCTGCCAAACATTTGACGTTCGTCCCTTCAGTACAGAAGACTCGGGTCTACTCCAACTGAAGCACGTATTAAATTAAGGATTTTGTATCGTCATCATAATATTTCCATATTGCTCGGATTATCACGTATATAAATTTTAGCTCTTATTTCTTTCTAGAGATTAACTTTTATTTTTGTCATATGTTATTGTTATAATAATAATAATAATAAATATTTCCAACATTCACACCAATTAGCCTAGCCCCAAAGTAAGCACTGTAAGGCTTGTGTTATGAGATACTAGGGTAACGGATAGAATACATACTGTACATATATAAGTATATTTATATAGAAATACATATTAAACATCCATGACTGGAGTACAAATGCTCGTATTCATCACACAAACGTCTGCCCCCACCGGGATTCGAACCCAGGACCTCTCGAGTCGGCGACACCATGAAACCCGGCGTACAAACCACTCGGCCACGGAGGTCATCATGTTATGATGGCCAATAAAGAATTTTTCATTTCATTTCATCTAAATTATTGTAAGCGGTACGAAGTTCGCCATTTCAGCTAGATATTAATATATTTTTCTTATTTTTTTGCAGGCAACGGTTACATTCCCACGTCTAGCTTGCGCGAGATCTTGCGAGAGCTGGACGAGCAGCTCACAGACGAGGAGCTGGACGGCCTTATCCAGGAGATCGACACAGACGGCAGCGGCACCGTAGACTTCGACGGTAATATTACCTTTTAGACAGGCAATTAACAGTTTATTGAGAACGCTCGTTTCGGGATGCAGATTACTGCCATTGAGCTTCCATTGTACATACAGTGACTACTAGTGTGACTACAGTCACATACTGTTGTTGTGTTGAGCAGCGAGTAAGGTTTTCAGAGCTCCATGGGGTAGAAAATAGTGTCAGGATCATTAATGTACAAGTAATACTCTGATAGTTTTATCTATATAGGTACAGCAGCAGCTTACCATCAGGCAGGTTATCTATGCTTGCTTGCCACCCTACTTTGATACAGGCGAAAATTAAGGCGTTTTTTTCGGTCGGTACGATACGATACAGTAGTTTTTACTCTTCGGCTAACACGTAAGCTCACTTTTAACGAAGTGTCTAGATGTAATAGCTCTCTTTAGGAAAATAATCACAACTTATAAATGCAAATTAAACTCGCCCACAAAAAAGGGCCACCTTGTAAACTCCAAATGAAACTACACAAGCTAGCTCTTTAAATTAAAAAGTATCTAAAAGAAAATTTAGTTAATCATAAAATAAATCACGGACGGTATTTTGCGAAAATTATTTATTAATTTGAATCATTTCTTAAATACTTTCATGGTCACTGACATTATAGTAATTCTTGTTATTTGTTGCGATTGTTATATGCTTACCTTTGTTTTTTGGGAGTCCCCGATATTTCGGCACTGTTGCAAGCGCTGATCACGGAGTAACTCAGTGATCATGACGCTTGCAAAAGTGTTGAAATATCGGGGACTCACTTAAAACAAAGTACATGGTAGCAATCCCGTAAATAACATACATTACTTTAATTCCTTGCAAATATTTGTGTTTTCAAGGTGACCCTTTATTTTTGCGGATGATCGTTTACTGTACTCCATCCATTGGAAAAACCTGTGCACTAACAGTGGGGACATTAGTATACTAATAATGATTTCAGTAAAAAACATTACAATCATTAACATTTTGTTGTTCCAAATCAGTCTTACCATAATTCTATTCTCTATTGTTACAGAGTTCATGGAGATGATGACAGGAGAATAAAACGTGTATTTCTATTCTTTTTTTACTTTTATGGTCTAATTTAAGGAATATCTACATTTCGGTACCTACTTCAACCTTTCGAATCTTGGGATCATTGGACAAGATAACTTTTCAAAGTCAACTGAAAGGAACAGACGAATTTTATCGGCAATAATAAAGTATTATTGTATGTATTGTACAAAATAATTATTTGTTCATTTGATGTGTGTGATTGAGTAATGTTTATACCTACTTATTAATAAATCTTTTATTCTACTATTTCTGTTTTAATGTTTTTCAGTATAAAATGTATTTTAGTATAAGAAACAACTATATTTTTACATTATAATGAGGGAATAAGATATCTCGAAATAACATTTAGGCCGCGAGATAATTCTCATTTCTTAAGATCTCTCCTCAAGATAAATATAATGAATCCCCTGTTTTTAAAACGGACGCCAGATTGTCCTAGATAATTTTGATGGCATAAAATTCAGGAAATTTGGCCGACGGCCAGTACAAAGTAATGGGTCTATTTGAGATAGCATTCTGTTCTGAATCATATATACCATGTATCTAAAATTAAACTAAAACACTTGCGAATAATATATTCATTTATTAGGTAAATTCTTTGTTTTGCAAAACATTCTTGCATCATTACAATATTCAGTGACTTGGAACCAATGCTTTTACAGTAAGCACATGAAGCGAAGTCATGGTATATTTTATATTATAATTAATAAATTCAAATTTTCAACATTATCATTCTTTCTATAAAAACTAAAAAATATAGGACGAGTGGGGCAGGTATATTACATAGTAATTGGTATGGCACTTACTCTACGGCTCCGTCGTTGTAAATTAAATAATTGAAAATTTAAGCGGTTGTATAGTAGAAATTTTCTACGTAAACAATTTTTGTCTTAAGAATAAATTCTCATTATGATAAATTATGCAATAAAACCAAAGCACCATACCTCAAGATAGTAATTAAAAATTTCCATGAACATTGTTATAATTATAGCATTATTCATAACACTTACACAATATTCCAAACATAACTCTCAAAATAACTTAAGAAAGCCTGCATAAAACGTAGGCCTTAATGTAACTAAAATAATAATACAGTACCTAAGTGAGTTGATCCAAGTTAAAGATATAGGAATAGAAACTTAAAAATAATGATTGTAAGTCATTGAAATGGAAGTGTAGACATTATAATGTTCAATATTTTTACGAAGAAAGCGGAATACACATGATTCAATGATAACTATTAAAGCTTCGCGATACAATAAATCTTAAATACGTGTTTCACTACATACAATTTAATATTTAATACCTCCTTAGTTATACGCAAATACGTTGGTACCCTTTGAATGTGATTTAGTACACAGCAGCTCTTCGGGCTATACAAAAACTGTCTAAATTCTTCAATCGATTTCCAACCTAAACGGCCGGGTCAGAGCCGTAGCTAAGGTGGGACATAATGGGGCAATGCCCTACCTTAAAATACCATTGCCCTTCCTGAAACTGGGCGAAAGGCTGCGAAGCGCGTCATACCCCTACCAGTATTTACCGCTGACCTATCTTAAACACAACTCAAGCTGAGGCCCTGGATCGGATTCGCAGTTCATAAATCGATCGTAGAATTTTTACAGTGGCTATAGGATTATTAATAGTTAATTTATATTATAAAATCAGGCACTGTTTGACGTAACAGCAGTTAACACTATCACACTTTTGTCACTAGATTACCACTTCTTCATGGCACGTTAATAAAATAGGACAGGGGCAGTTTTAAACTACATTTGACGACACAATTGCCAATATCGAATTTTTAATAAATAATTATGACAAGCCGCCAGCACGTTCATGTCATAGGGAGACCATGATTACTAGTTTTTTTTTATGTTAAAAGAGTGGTAAACAAGCGTATGGTACCTGATGGTAAACGACCAGACGACCACCATAGCATATAGACGCTTGCGATACCAAAAATATCACTCGCACGGTTGCCTGATCTAATCCCCTAATAAAAAGATAAACTCGTACTGAAGGGCTTGTTGTATACTTTGAATCGCTCTTTTCGGTGCTTCACACTTGATATACGATCACTTGTTCTCGTAGCACCTATCGCATTATTTCTGCACTGAGGAACCACTTTTTAAACCAAAGCGATTTAGTAGAGATAGTTTAATCTATTTGCTTTCTATAGTTTTGAAGTATTTATTCATACGTGTACTTATTAAAGTAAAAATAAATATTTATATAATATTATTATAAGAAGTCAATAAAAATCATAAGTATTTCATGGTCTACCTACGACTAAATACAGCTAAGACATGAAAACATTAATCAAAGTCAAAAGTTTAAAAAATCATTGGTAACGTATTTTAACAATTAAATATTACGAGTCTTCATTTAAAACAGTATAAACTAATTAATATAAACAATAATTGTGTTACATCAGGGAATAATTATGTACATTCATCGTTTCTCATATACTACACAATATATAGCTTCTTGGCTTCGGATAGCTAGCTTTAACTACATAAAATTTCGTAATGAACTACCTACGAATGAGATCTCGATTTGAACTATGTATTACCAAACATTCTCGTGTCAAAGTTATTCAAAGCTAATTATCACATTAAGTAGAAACGTTCAGTATAGAAGTTAAGTTACAAATATTTTTTAGCGGAATCGTTGAACAGAGGGCTGCGTTGAGTTGTCGTAACTCCGTAAATAATCGTAGTTATACATAATATAAAATCAATGCAACATAATGATACTAGCAAGATACCTTATAAAGACATTAAAAAAGTTCATAGGTAAATAATCTTGAATAATTTGGTGAATAAAGTTCATTCAGGCGAAGGCGTATAAGTATTATGGCGTACTTTGATTGAAAACACCCTGCCGCGGTGCAATATAGAAAGGCCCTTATATTCCTTTAATAAATACGGTGATAAATAAGTAATTCAAATTAATTGAAGATTAATTTTCCCAACCCTCGTATCAAGCAGCAAATAGAGAGAACTCAGTACACAGTATAGAGTACATTTATCTAGAATATACAATTAATGAGTAAATACATTATTCATATAAGTACCCCAACATATAATAAACGAAGAATTAGTAAGTTTTCAGTTACGCAGAGTTTAGTTTCATATCTGTTCGTCGAATTACTGACAATACTGAACCAGAAAAAAAACTACTCGTTCAAGGTTTCGTTAAATTATATCAAATCCCAACTAAAAACCTGGGCCAAGTGGATCTTTTTCTAACAAAATTTTCTTTAGATTTAAACAAGTTGTTGTTAAATGTTTAAAATAATAATTTTGTAATCTGCGTAACCAGTCCAAGTCTCCTATTCTACGGTTAAGGGGAATTAGGTACATTACATTTATCCTTGCTACAATTTATTTATCATAAAATATGTAAAATACTTTTTCTTCTTTTTCAAGTAGGAATGACTCTTTTCTTTGGATACCATATCTAAATAAATTAAAAGTATTTAATTGGAAAGATTAGTAAGTAATATAGTTACATTTTTAGCTTAACATCGCTGGTTGGATTTCGCGAGGCAACATGAATGTGGGCCTATTAATATTATGTATTTTTTTCCTAACTTATAGTAAGTAAATTTTATGAATACTGTTAAATAGATTATAGATCTTCATTCCATGAAAACTTGTCTCGATCGGGATGCAACTTGCCAAGAAACACAGCAATGCATCCTTGTAATACTCTGAAATAAAATAAAATCAAATAAGTTTTTCGTAAAATATGAGATGTATATGTGTGTAGCTATATGGTCTAAAGTAAGTATACATTCAAAATCATTTAGCTATAGCGGGAAAGGGGGTTCGCTGTTCTACCTTTTTGTATCAATCAAACACATTGTTTTACAATATAGATAAATGCAAAAAACTTAGCAACCCAGTTAAATTGGTAGAGGACATCGATCTAGTGCAAATAGGTTTGTGCAATGCAGTCAGCATAGGTGAAACATATCAACAAGCAGTTAGTGAATGATAATTTTAAATATATTGCCTACAAAAGTTTAAAGAAAGCACTGAATACTTTGAAAGGATTTTATCATTTACGCCCGAAGATAGATCCTGCATTTTCTTTTACTCAGCAAGGAAGAAAACCCCGCTGTCATTGTAATTATAACAGTTTATTTCTCAATTGAATCAGCAAAATATTTATTGGGTAAAATGTTATCACATGCATGTGAATTAGGTAGACACAATTGACATTTTGAATTGAGAAAAATTGTTTTATTGATTCCATTATAAGTAGTTATTTTGCCCCTATAGTGACTTATATTATAGCAAAATATTGATTGAAAAATAAACTCACCTCACACTTGCCCGTCGGCAGATTTGACTAGTAATGTGTGCCCGCACAGATCAGTGCAGTATCGGGGGCGGGGGCCGGGGTCGCGTCGTGTTCAGCTTGGGGATCGTGCTGAACTCCAGCAAATCGGGTTCCTTCGGCTTGTCGATGCGGCCGAAGCTCTTGCGGCGGCGGCTCAGCCACGGTGGCGGCTGGCCCTCGCACCATGCCGCCTTCGCCCACCCCTCCGGTTCCGCCCCGAGTCTACTACACTCCCTCGCATACGCTCTGTACGCTGCACAATGGCACCGCGTCCCCGAACACCCGCACGCGTCCAACTCACACGCCTCGCGGTAATTGCGAGGGTTCACTTTCCCACTGCACTCCGAGAACGCCTCGTACCGCAGGAAGCCACGACACAGACGCCGCGCTTTCACCATCTTCGACTGCCGACACCTCGACGCCGCACCCGGTCGCTCCTGCTGTCGGGTGCACGCTCGCCTTCCGCCCACCCGCCACGACGTCCCGAATCTCCATGTGTCGTTCAACAATTTGCCGTCACGAGTTCTCATGTCATCCCTCGCTACCGAATTAAAGTTCCCACACAGTCCGCACAGTTTTCCCTTGTAAGCACTTGACACAGTCACCTCCAGAAAACCGTCGCCGTCCCATAACATTTGCACGCCTATGTGAGCTTTCAGAAGCACGGAGCCGTTGCTGCGCTTGATTTCGGCTACACCGGTTTCTTTATGGGGCATCGTCACTCGATTGCCGTTCACTTTTATGCGCATCTTCTTTCCCATGTTGATTTTAGTAGAGCCGATCCGTAGGGTCGCCGTTCGTGTCCAAGAAGAGTGCAGCGTGTTCCTGGCATCGTTTGAAATTCGAATCGAGAAAGTGTTGTTGACACAGTCTGAGACCAACTGGTATTTACAGGACCCCTGAAAACTATAGAACTTTCCATCGAAAGTTTTATAGTGTGGGTCACCGAAGACTGTGCATATGCCATCGATATCGACACATTTGGGGCAGCATTGACCAGGAAGCTGCCGCAGTGTCTGGTCGGGAAGACACGTTATGGATGGGCACCTTTCCATCGCACATCGAGGTTCACCTCCGTGACATTCACAAGACTTGCACGCATCTAACTGCCACGTTTCGCCATCCTAAAACAAAGATGTATTATGTAAAATAAGTACTTTGTGTTATTTAGCAAAATGTCAAGCTTCAAAAAATTCAAGCTGAATTGGAGAAAATTTTGTAACAAAACTGACTCTACGTTTGGCATTGCTTGGGCCTAAGTTATGAAAATACTGAAAACGTTTTAGTTTATGGAACTTTCATATCCATTGATTAACTGCCTAAAAACCAGGGCTAATTTTGAATTTTTAACTTTTTATTATATGAAATAAAATTATAACCTGGTAGGTATTCCCTCCAATAATGCAGGCTGCTTTGGCCTCTTCCACCTGAGGGCACTCCGGGCAACATTTCCCAGGCTGCGGAGGTAAAGCTCGGGCGCCGCAGGTCAGCACCGGGCAAGTGTGACGGGTGCATACTGCCGTCCCGTTCATGCACGTACAATCCGTACAAGGGTCGACGCGGAACGCGCTTAGGTGGCCGTGGTACTCCTTTCCAATTATACACGGTTTCGCCATCATTGTACCTGAAACTGGTAGTAAAATCTTTTGAAAAACCTTATTACTCTTCTTGGTAAGTGTACAAAAGAGTAGGATGCCTACATTTGATACAGTGATGGGAGGAAAGACTTCCCACAATTCAAGATCGCGTGCTAGCAATTTACGAATAAAACTGCTATCTACAAATTTCTACAAATCAAGTTCTATAAGGTAAAAAATATGAAATATCTATACATGAAATCGATTACAGCAAACTCCTCATTACCTCAAAGTGAAGTCTTGCTTTAAGCATAACACTGAATGCCGATCTGGAGCCACTGCTCCTAAATAACTCAAGTTACAATCTTCTATACAATCTATTGCAGATTTGCATTCACTTTCAATATTTAAACAAAAACATTATGTACCTATATTGCCTTTCTATTATATATGGGTACGTATTATATTTGAAGAAGACATTATGTGTCTTCGAACATAAACTAAAATGTCTTTTTCAAGTTGGCAATATTTACGTGTAATAACTCTAATAGAACTTTTTTCATTTCTCATAGAGCTGAAAAAATGTTAGTTTGGACGTAAAAGAGACTATTCGGGGAAAATATCATGTTCATAAATCCGTTGGACAATCTAATTAAACTTCAGTGCGTAAACGTCTGAAAGGATTTATAACCATTATAACCAACTTTAGGATTATTAATGGTAGTGAAGTTCTAGGTAGACATAATATAATGGATATTAGGCCACTCAGAAAGTTTTGCGGCAAAAAGTTTTTATGTATAAGACACTGGCCACTTGAAATCATTTTGAAAACTTCGATTATTTAAAAGTAAAAACTGTTTGATTTTCAAATTTTCTTCCGCATTTTTTCCAGAGACTTAAATTTTTCTTGTCTCATTATAAAATGGATCTGCATCGACAACATTTTCGTGCTACGATTTTTAACGATTGTAAAGGTGGCTTAAAACCTGATGAGTCATTTGATCGATTGCGAACTGCTTTTATGGATGAAGGAACTTCAAATCAACTATCAACCGCTGGTGTAGCGAATTCAAACGCGGTCGTTTTACTTTGGGGGATGAACAAAGGAGTAATCGTCCTACGACGGCTGTCACCAAAGAAAGTGTGCTGGCAGTAAAAAAAATAATTCAAGAAAACAGACGAATTACGTACGAATAGATACAGCATATTCTGCAGATTGGTTCAGGAAGTGTTCACAAGATTTTGCACGAGCATCTTTGCGTAAAGAGGATAGTTTCCCGCTGCGTGCCGCACAACCTCACCGAAGCTCAGAAGCAGGCCCGTGTGGATTAGTGCAGTGATATGGTACAAAAATTTTATGCAGGCTCGACACGGCGCATTTACTATACTGTGACAGGTGACGAATCCTGGATTTATTAATACGATCCAGAAACAAAGCGTCAGTATACAGTTAGGCTGTTTCAAAACGAACCAACGCCTACGAAAGAGAAGCAATCGAGGATCGCAGGGAAAATTTTGATCGCTAGTTTCTTCACTTTGACGGGGTACCTGATTTCAATTCCACTTCGAGACCAAAGCAGCATACACGCTGGATGGTATAGCACAAAATGCCTGCCAGAACTTTTTTCTGCAATGAGCAACAAGTGAAATAACACCAGGCCCCCGGGGTCCTTATTCACCACGACAACGCGCCCGCGCACTCTGCGATCAAAACGAAGGACTTCCTGGATTCCACACCAATCAGAGTCTTGGGACACCCTCTTTACAGTCTTGATTTGGCTCAGTGTGACTTCTTTTTATTCTCCTTAAATAAAAAAACAGCTCAAAGAGATACAGTTTTCATCGCCGGAAGAAGCGCTAGCAGCGTTTGACAAGGCCGTGGAAGAATTGTCTGCGGAGGACTGGAAAAAATGTTTTGAAAATAGGTTCAGACGCATGAAACTTTATATAGAGGCTGATGGAGAGTTCTTTGAAAAGATTTAATAAAAATGTATTTTTCATAGAAGTTATTTTTTAGGTTCTTCAAACTTTCTGAGTATCCCACGTATATGGGCTTGATTCTGTGTGTTATTCTAAACACGAATTCTTACTAGGAAAGGTTATGGTTAATCGCCAATAAACTGCTTATCAGTTTGAGAAATAAAGAAATAATGTAAAACTGTGAAAATTATATTTAATTAAATAATAAATATTTAAGTAAATAAAAAATATACCTAAATAAGAACTAATTTAGAACATGAAAATAAATACATGTAAGTACGCTAGAGGGAGATAAATGTCTGAGTTATGCTCAAACATGAATAATAATAAAAACTAACTACTAGTTAGTTTTGTACGCAATAATAGAGACCGACGGGTGGGGTCTAGATACCCCTGTGACACTGTGCTCTCTACTTTTCTTAAGAATCACCTTTTGTGGTAAAAAGAGGGATTCTTTTTCGCATGCATATATGAATCGTAATGAATTAGATTCCTTATCAGTCTCCTCAACTTATGACGTGATATGGTCAAGCAAGGAGTAAGAGTAAGGAAGACAATTCTTGAAAAAGGCAGTAAAAAATGGGAAAAGAAGGAAGAATTCATCAGCGGAGAATTTAAGTGTATAAAGGGACTAGATAATATGACTAATATGAGGTAAATACTGATTGAACGGAGAAAGTGGCAATAAGACAATCAGGAAAAGTTGGATTAATAAGTAGGTATATTTTGTGCGTACAAAAGTATTTTCAGTAAAGCGTAACCACTTACTAGGCAGTATTTTGTCAGCTGTGGGGTGCGAACAGCGTGGACAGCATTCACTAGGCGGTGTGTATTGGTGTGCGTGCGGGCACGGCAGCACAGGGCACGCTCGCTTCGCGCACGACAGGGCGCCGCGCACGCATCTGCACGACAAGCACGGCTCCTCCGGTATCCGCACGTCGCGACCCTCCCATACACGTTGGCCGTTTATTACGCATTCTGTAATAAATAAAAAGAAAAATATTACATGTCCTTTGTTAAGTATTGTACAAATTGTATTGTAGACTACATCTTATATTACACAAACACGCTCGTTTCGCGCACAACAGCGCCCCGCTTACGAACTGCACGTTAAGTACGGCTCCTACGGTTCCACATTTCGCTCATCTCCCATACATGCTGACCGTTTTACACACAGAAAACATAGTTTAGTATGCATTCTTAGACGCAGTGCACATTAGAAGAGGCGCGGCGAAGATACAGAAAAATTCGACTATATCATAAGTTTCAAAATTCCATGGTAAACAAGGAAAAGTACAAATCCTCCGATATTCGCACGTTGCGTCCCTCACATACAAGCTAGCTAACCTATGCATTATATGCCATAAAATAAATGTTTGATATGTCGTCTTTTGTCACATAGGTACTGTTCTGAATACGACAAGTCAAGGAATTTCTGTGTAAGTATTTTTTGCTACATGTATGAATTTGGCATATGACCTAGTAGCGGTACTTAAATGTTATAACTTACTGAGTCGGACTCGCCCACTGAGAGTTCCGTGCAAATTTGTAGGTACGCAACATAAACGGCCGTATCTCTTTTTTACGTTAACTATGAAGTTTGATTTTTTCACAAATTTAAGGGACCATAAATCTGATTATATAGCTCAAATTGACTACTCAATATATTATGTACTCGATTGCATTCCCGAGATAAAGAGTCTTGACAGACAGACAGACAGACAGACAGACAGACAGACAGACAGACAGACAGACAGACAGACAGACAGACGGTCATACACAGTGATCCAATATCAAACAAAGTGTTCCAATACCAACGATATACAAAACCCTATCAAACGATTTCCCAAGGATACAATTAGTACAGTATTCTGACGATCCAGACCTGAAAAGGCTGCGAAACGTCAATAAATAAATAGTTTCGTGCATTAACCCGTTAAAACTAGTTTTATTTTTAATGAGTGATGTGCGTGAAAACCTAAGAAACGAAAAAAAACACTTTCATAAAGACGCCTAAGCGAACTCTATTAGCAATCATTTGTAATTCTAACACGACACAACTCTTTTAAATCAAAGCTTTTAAAAACCATTCCAACGAGTATGATGATACGAGTATAAAAACACATTATGAAAACTGTATCGTTATTGATACAGTTTTCATAATGTGTTTTTATATCATGAACGAACTAGTAATGAACTGTTGAATGCTTTCTTTGTGTAGTCGTTCGTTGTGTTAAAGTCGTTTTTTATCCTCTAAATGGCAAACAGAATGGTTAGGTTGGTACAAAAATAAAATCTTGTAACTTAACTAAAATGCCCATTATTCGGAATCACAATGAGGTTAGAGCGGCGTTGTTAAAACAAAGCGCGAAGGCCATAAATTGGAGGGTATGGCAGATGAATCAATCAGACCCTAATGAATGGGGACAGTGCCCGCACGCGGCCTCCCGACCACCTGTAAGCCGTCCTGCCTCAAAGCTAAATCACAGTCATGCCTCTAACAGCAAACATTTCAAATCTTAATCTGTAATTAACTTTTCAATGGAAAATGAGATTACTCCTTCGTTGGAACTTCAGCAGTCATACATTATGTTATCAAAATATGGTTACTGGTTTGTTATACAGCGAAAAGTAATTAAGTACTGCTTATGTACCTTTAAAATATTATTTTTGAATGATATGAAACATCATATAAGAACTTGATAAATGCAATTAGGGTCTTGTAGTTCCTACACTAATCCAACGATATAATGGACAAACCATTTGTTGGTAGGTATAGGTACTGAAACGAAAAGGTTCTTCGAACAATGTCATGATTACTTACGTTCCTCAAATGTGGAATTAAAACATACTGTATGTAGCTTGATCTATCTGAGAATCTGAATAACATCCTCCTGTTTCGACCACTAGTGGAATGTGAAACATCACGAACGCTGAAAAGCTCTACCAATCATGACGTACTTAGGCAGGTAGGCTTAAAAAACCGCTCACCTTACGCAAATAACTTGACATACAAGCAATTGACTTTCAAGTATTCTTTAGACGTAGATTAAGAAATGCGAAGAGGCCGACACATAAAATGAACATATTTATCTAATGGACATAGACAGAAACGCATTCTCAGCCCTCTCGATGTATGCATACTTAAACGCTACAATAAACATTTAACTCATTGTGAGCGAGTGTAATACTAATCATACTGACATGTGCCTTAAAGTGACAGTACATACATATGACTAGATATTGGTGTATTGTGTGTGTACTTATTTTCATTTATATGCCACTCGACGCCAGTGCCTCGTCCGCTCACATAATTGTGACAATGAATAAAGCCGAGTGTCTGTCGTAAAACTAGAGACGAGTACACAAAGTAGGCTGTCCTTTTGTAGTCAACCAATTCATCAAGTATTCAAGTATTCATCGTCAGTCCAAACAGTTTATATGAGCGATGTGCTTTGTCACTGAATGAGTAAAATCATACATACTCGTACTGCTGTATAGTAAAGCCTCTTTCAATCATAATCCTCATTTTATTTAATGTTAATAGAGCGGCACACAAATCTATGGCCCTAATGAGTAAAATCATACATACTCGTACTGCTGTATAGTAAAGCCTCTTTCAATCATAATCCTCATTTTATTTAATGTTAATAGAGCGGCACACAAATCTATGGCCCTCCTGATGGTAAGCGGCGACCATAGCTTAGAGACGATTGCGATACAAAAAATATCACTCGCGCCGTTACCTACCCTGATCCAATCATTTAGCCCGTGGAGCCCTGGAACCTTACTCACCGGCAGAATCACAACACCATCAAAGAGTTTTTTTTTTGAGTGTATATGCTGTTGGTCGCAGATGATCTTTACAGCGTCATCGGGTTTGGGGACGGCGAGATCCTAAGGGGACCTGTGTCGAGTGCGAGTGCCTCTAGAGGTATTCTGGGCGTATGGCGTCTCCCCACGGGGGGAGTCTCCTCTCCGTCTGGAGCCTCTAGACCACTCGAACCTGAGGGGGTCGGCTCAACTAGAGGGCGTCTCTGAGACTCGGACATCAAAGAGTAGTGTTATTCAATTGTAGTCTTCTGTAAGGTGGAGGTTACTTTCCCCAGACGGGCGCTCTAATGCGAGCTGAAAATTTGCTATGCCCTACCTCTTTTAAATTATTATTTTTAAGCATTTTTGGTAAAACGACTTGAACTTCCAAGAGTAATTTCCTATATAAATTATATTAAGTAGAGTCCAAGCAGTTGGATATAAGAGTGCTGAAGTAATATCAATCTGTTGGCTCATAGTAATGGTATAACTATAATGAACCATGATATATTCAAAGCACGAGTATCGCGTAGATCACAAAGCTAATTATTCCAATTTCTCAGGTCGTCGACGCAGGCATACCTAATAATAACGATGCTCTTGTAAACGCACAATGAATTTATATGGGCAAGACTTTTGACAGACAATCCATAAAATAGTTTGGGGATTCCTATGTGGTAAATGGTTATTTCCAGGGTTTCCATAGTTAAAAAAATATGATAAATAAAAAATGATCATGAACCCGAAAAGGCAAGCCCAAAGTTTCTCACAAAGTTATATTTATTCAAGTTCAAGATACCTAGATATAAAAATACGAAATACATAAGTGTCGCTCTTTTTGATGTATTACGGGCACCCACTGTTTTAAAAGAGCACGTGTATTTTAGTGCGTATTACTCATCGTTTTCCACTTAAGACCCAAAATAAAATAAAAACGCACTGCTGATAAAACGGAATCGTGAAAAAAAATAACAAGTATACAGGGCAAAAAACCTAATGCACCGTTGGGATCGTAAAACAAACAAACACGGGGCACACACCTCTGCGTTCCCGCAGTCGGCGCTTTGACCAACAGACAAAAACCCAACCGCCCCTACCTTTTAAGTAGGTTGTTAACTTTTTGATTTATGGACAATAATAGAGACGCAACGCCGTGGGAGACTCCGACCACGAATGTATTATTTTAATGAACCCCCGTGAGCACATAATAAGACTTTATTTCGTTTTTAGGTAGAATTTAATTCCTTTGTTCCTGGTTATAACGTTCTGAAAGAATCTCTCGCTGGTCCCGCGAAACGACACGGTCTGGGTGGTCTGAATTGCACATTCATTTCAGAAAGCTCTCCGGCCCACATTATGGATGAACATAAAAATAAAGAAGACTCTCTATATAATTTCTTTTAGCCAACAAAAATAAAACTATGCATGGAAAACATACAGACAATTGTTTAGTTCGGATTAACTCATTTTTATAGGTCGAACAGGGCTTAGTTCTGATTTATTACGACTCGTCAGTTGCTTTATATAAGACAGGGGAATGATGAATGTATGAAAACAATTTTTATCACAACACGTAGAGACACAATATTTTAAACTACATATATCGATTAATCACTGTTGTGTTATAATAGCATTCTGCGACTAGTATGGCGACACTCGGCAGTCGAGTTATTAAAGCTGAGTGTTCTATTGTCTACCCCGTAGTGCTACTGCGCAGCACATCGGGCTCGCCTTTGTTGGAGACGGCGTGTGGGCGACTAGGCCACCAAGTCGCTCCAGCCTGACATATGAGATATGACTACTGAGTAGAGATCTACATGCAAATCCATTGCCAAGCATTCTTTGTTTACGACTAAACTGCATGACAAACAAAATCACATCGACATCCTTTCAAATCCCTTATGCGTGATGTACTTTTTGATTACCCGGCGAACATAGAAGGTACAGTAAGGACAGTTTAATTATTAACGTTGCAGCGATACTAATCCAAATGAATGAAGGAACTGTTGGAGTAATTAACAAATTCTAAAACATGCCCGATGAAGCGATCTCTATACAATCAGTCGGCTGGCGGCACACAAAAGCTATTCCGAGTCATCTTGTAAATTACTATTATTTGATATGGAATTAATAAACTTGTTAAGGTTTAGGAGCGGAGGTAAATTGCCCACTGTCTTAGTTTTATTTGGCCCGCGTGGCGGCTTGTGTTTGTTTTTGTCCGGGATCTTTCTTTTTTGCCGTGCGCGCGTCTGGCTGGGTGGGCGCTCCCCGAGACATGGCTGCGCCAGCCGCCCGACAATTATCTCTTGAAAAACGTAGGTAAGTACGTACGCACGATGGGAAAACGTGGCGTCAAATGGTGAGTAAATTCTTCAGAGTGATTTAACCCTTTAATGGCTAGCGTTTAATACACTTGTCGGTACCATTGGTGATAATTGCCTTCAATCTGTAGATACATTTTATTGTGTTACCTTTTATTGATTTAGTACATAAAGTTTAATTAAGTTTTATACTAGACCTTTATATAGTCCTACACATTGGAGTTTGTGTTATTTGTATAAGCATTATGTCTTTTCTCCTGCGTGACTGTTATGATAACGCTTATAGGACTAACCATAACAGTTACGCAAGAGACAAAACACACCAGACTGAGAAATTAAGAAGACTCTAATCTATGACTAATTTGTGAGGAATGCGTGAAACACACAATCCCGAGAATCATAGCAAAACTCAGACACTGACCATCATATAGACGGGGCAGTTGTAGTATATGTTGATGTTTCAGCCTGTCGCATGGCGCGTAGCACTCGGGATATTGTGACCAAGTCAGCTTTACAGTGGAATGCAGGATACGTAGAACACGCTAGCCGAGGATAATAGTAAAGCTCACAAATTTGCCGTCACAGACGGGGCAGTTGTAATGGGTATGACGTTGGTGTTTCGGCCTGTCGCAGAGCGCGTAGCACTCCGGGCGGGATATTGTCACCACGCCAGCTTTGCAGTGGAGTACCTGATCTTTCTCTTCCCACTCTGTGTAGGATCCATAAAAAACGCTAGCAGCTGATCAGTAAATCTCACAAACTTACCGTCACAGACGGGGCAGATCTTTGCAAAGGAATACCTGATTTTTCTTGTCCTACTCTGCGTAGGATGCGTAAAAAATGCTAGCCGATGATCAGTAAAGCTCACAAACTTACCGTCACAGACGGGGCAATTGTAGTGAGTATGACGTTGGTGTTTCGGCCTGTCGCAGGGCGCGTAGCACTCCGGGCGGGATATTGTGACCACGCCAGCTTCGCAGCGAAGCACCCGGCCCTCTTCGCCCCACTCCGTGTGGGAAGCATGTTCGGTGCCATTGTACCAGCACCCCTTACATTTGGTGCAGCACCCTTCCCGCGGCATAATGACGGCGCAATCTTCCATCAAACCACACTCTTCGACACCGTTGCGGCACTCCACGAAACCGTTCTGAAAAGGATGTCGATTTTAGTTATGCATATTATGTAGTATTTAGATAGGCTTGTTCATTGTACATTCGTCACAAAGTAAATTTGACAGAAAAAAGTATTTGTTAACTACTTAAAAAACTCGCCATAGTTCTATTTTTGTGAAGTTAATTGTATGTGGCGAATTAACTTTCAATGTATGGAGAAAACAAAAATGTGACGAATATGCTTCCGAAAACTTGTTAATACTAAAATTGACAAGACTTATTACTGAAAAACTCGCCTGATATTAAATATGTATTATTAGGTAGGTATTTTATTATATTTTTATTTAGAGTATTTAACTGCTAGATTTGTAAATACTGTCTGATACCTGGACCACGTGGATTTTTTTCTAGTAATTATTTCTTTTGATGTATGAGGTAAGTTTAAACTCGAAATGTATCAATAGTGCAGTATTTATTATAACTACTTACATTACAACTTATTTGTATTTTATTTAATAATAACAAATGACAGTGTCTGAATGTGGTAGGTACCTATTTATTTTTGGACCTATAGGTATTTAGATACAGTTACATCACAATATGTGACACGCATAGTCTCTTGACTATAAACCAAGCAAACAACAAAGTTTCATTATCCTTATAGCGAATATGAAACTAATACAAGTGGTGGAAAAAGTTGTAACAAAATTGTTATCCTTATAATAGTACCACAGATATAAGTTGATATGTCTAATTCAAACTTGGGGACACGCAATGTGTAACTTTGTGACAACGAGTTTAAATTTTTATAATTTTATTAAAATCATGCTTTTAAAGAATGAATTAGCGATCTTTATACAATAGGAGTTCTATGATAGGTAGGTACCATACTCTGTGATTCATTCATTAGATTGTCTTGAGCAATAACTTACTGAAAAACTCAAGAAAAAGTGCAAATATACGCCAACTAATTTCTTCGCCGAATTTCTTCAGTGCAACTAAAAATATACGTCAGTGCATTAAATATACAAGTCTAAAATTATCATCGCGTCTCGAAATAAATTTTTACGTTTTATCAGAGTATACTAAAATAGTTTGACATTAAACCACGATGTTTAAACGCGGATTGCATTTATTGAAGTGTCGTTTAAATAAACTACTGGGTGCCATAAAAACTATCCCATGCCCTGGGAGTCGAACTATCTCTATTATCTACAATTTTCATCTAAAGCAGTTCAGTGGTTTAAGCGTATGAAGACGTAGCAGCAATTATAATATTAGTATGGATTAAGGCGGTGTACATAAATACAAATAATTTGCTGATCTTATGAAATCACTGTGGTCTGCCTATAAACTCCTTCTTTAAGACGTCCAAAACATTCACCGTGCTCTTCCTACACTCGTAGATATAGGAACAAATTTCACGCCATATAATCCTATGGGCTAAGCAGAGCAGCAGCAAGTTACATTCAAATGCGCTCACACGTTTATTCGTGATAGAGTAATGCCGACACATCACTTGGCTATTCGTGTTTGCTATATGCCAACGTGACAACAGTCTCTCCTTTTCATTCTCTATAGAATGTGATAAGGACAACCTGCTGTCAAAATGACAAATAGCAACACGAATAACCAAGCGAAATGCCGGCATAACAATCCTGTAAAGATACAAACATTTATATAATTAAGAAGACGGCCCAGATCAATGCACATTTTAATTTAATCGATAATTGATAACTTTCGGTAAATGCTAAATCATATTCATTCTTAATAAGATCAAAACCCATTCTCATAATTATTTCAATAAGGTTTTAATGGTTCTTTGTTCTTCATTGATTTGCATCGAGAATTGGCACGTTAGTCATGTTTTATAGGATTTATCTTTTGTAAGCACCCAATAACATCTGCATATAGTTTATTCTTGCCTAGTACATAATTGATAATATTAACTTGAAATAGTCATTCCATTGCCGATTTATAAAGTGTATGTAGATAAGTAAATAAAGATATTAACAAAGAACTACTTTTAAGTTACAGTTAAAACGGAGTGTTTACTTATCTATGAATATAGTCAGATAGATAACATCAATGTAAGGTAAGATGCTGAGGTAAGATGCAAAGTCACTGTCACATTGCGGAGACTTGTTGAGTACACGAGATGAACCAAATCGAAATCTGCTTTTATAGGTTGCGTCAGAGACTTTTGTGCGTAGAGGAATCCTGGGTCCGTAGAGACTTACTTACCACAAGCTCAACGCACACGATGTGTGCGAAAATTTGTTTTGTTAAGAAAGGACATTGCTCGTTCCCCATACATTGAATGCCCTATAACGCCCAGCAATGAGAAAATGCTAGTTGTGTTCGGAATCATTCATAAACTCTAATTAAGCATTTGTTGAGATACGGACAACTTGAGGAACCGTGGCCTACTACAGAATGTATTAGATTTTGAGGTTATAATTATTATACTTAATCGTAAGAGATGTACACTTTATATATTCTGAATAGATTTAGTTTTTACCTCTATGTAAGCACTTAAATAATATGCATTAAATGAACATAAAATGCAATTAATAATAAAAATAATAAATGCTTATATTCATATTGATTTATGAGTGTTGTCAGTTGGCACCTATGTAGTAGGTAATAATAGATTTCTTTTCAAATGAAATGTTCAGTCTTTCCATTTACCTGTTTCTATATTTTACTATCGGTAATTAGGTATGTACCTGGTTAACAATATGATTTTCATAAAAATAAACAGATATTACATGGAATGGGAGTATAAACTATCTTTACATAATTTCAGAAATAATCTTTTTATAAATATAATATAAATACTAGTAATAAGTATTATTGACTAAGGTACCTAGTTCTATTTTTATGGTCGCCTATATTGCATTTAATAAGGTAAACAATCTTGGCACAACTTTTTAACAGAATCACCTGTTTAATAATAAAATATTAACGAAGCCAATAAACTATTAAAATAAATCGTTATTATAGACTGAAACCTATTGAATCTAGTTATCAGTTGATTTTTAATGCTGTATTTTCAATAAAAAGGAGTGCCAAGTTGGATGAACAGACTGTAGTATCTAGTAACAGAACTTTAATTTTTTATTTTCTTAAACAGATTGTCCGTTTACAATGATTAATTGCTAATAAGTTAAAAAAATAATAGAAAAATAATAGTGAAGGACATTCTTTTGGGCATGCTAGGGCCGATTTCGTCGATGTCCTTTAGAGAAGTGCACGCTGTGGAATCAAATATTCAGAGATCACGTTGTGTTGTAATCAAAATGAAGTTTAAAGAGAATACGTTTAAAAAGAAAATAATGGTTCTTTATATCGGATCGAGGGCGCAACGCAGACTAAAGTTCCCATTGTGCGTTGCTGCGCTTTTCACATGAGGTCAATTATTATTTTCGGGAACCCCCGTACTTTTAACCAGCCAAGTCTATCGGCGTCCTCGGTTTGTTCGGGGACTTTTTGTTGCTAGGGGTACTTTTAATCGCTCGTGTGCGTTACTCAAGGCAGTTGTTAGCGATCTATTTCGGCAGACAAAAAAAATTGTGTGTGTCAGCTCCGACGCACGACTGGAGTTTACTCCTTAAGTTCGATAGTCTAACCAGACGCAAAAAGAGTTTATTTAACTTAAAAAAGATTGATACTGTATGAAAGGGTAAATTAACAAATTAATGAAAATAATAAACATATATAAATATATATTTATTCATTTCATATACATTTATTATAACTAATCGACGAAATATTTTACATTAAACTTTTTACAATAGTCAATTTCAGATGTGCATAAATATATCATTAGGAATGTTGATAAATTATGTAATTATTATTATCACATTTTTTTAAATATTAATTAAATCAACATTGTCTGCATTATTAATTACATTGTCAAGTGGTTTATGGTAACTAAAATAAGACACATGGACGTTCGTAGATAAGTGGTTCACGAATCTTGAAAATACCGCATCAATGGTTGTACCATACCTCGTTGTCCCATTGCTCTATCAGAAACAATATCTAAATTCAGTTCAGATTTTAAAAATTTTGTTAATGTCAATCCGTCATCTTTGTTTGTCAAAGTTGCGCGACATAGGATGCGCACCAAAAACGTAACGAGGTCATTCATCGATAGATTTTACTCCTCACATTTTTCTCATACCGGGCCCCTTATATATGCAAATCGATTCTTAAGGAGTAAACTCCAAAAAATCAGCGTACAAAAATTCTTCGTCTGAGCAGGCATACAGACATATCTACATAATTACAATACATGCAATCATATAATATTATCACAGGTTTTGTTATTGCAAATAATGTATAAATAAATCTTAAAGCGGAAAAGGTAGAATAGTAAATTCTTAATCTTGAGAATTAACGATTTTCGCAAAAGGAGCGAAGAACGCGGCATACCCATCTTTTACGTGTGACTGTGCCGATATACATATACTGGTAAAACTGGCTGAAGTGTGCAAGTTACTTATAATGCAGTTAATTGAGTATTATCTTACCAAACAGTAAGTCAATACGTTCAATAAGTTCACATTACGTAAGCCAATCATTGTTTAATTATTGGAATGTCCCAAGAATTCAGTTTGTACATAGTGCTTGTTAGCATCCGAGCTGTCAGACACGATCAATATTTGCAGAAATCTGTACACTTATCAAACGTTTTAACACCAAACAGAATATCGGCATACTCTGTTCTAATAAGCTCACGTATTCTTCCTTTTTAGTAGCCACGCACGTATTAGCTTATCGGAATGTTACGCAGCTTTGAGAGGTATACTGTTTGAATTTTATTAATGTACGTCGAGGCATGATCGAGGCAATGTTCTTAGATACAAATGGATATTAATGTAAATGTATCTACTCTTGTGACTTTGATGATATATCGATTACTACTTATCCGAGAAATTACTATAATTTTTATTAATTTAAAAATGTAAATAAACTTTTATCAAAGTGACTATTGAAAGCTCTTCTGAATAAATAATAATAAAGATGA